CTAAAAGTTACTTATTCATCTTCGTTTGAAGTGCAACAAAAAACGAAGATCAATAAGTAACTTTTAGAGCCCAAAGGAAGCTCCTGAAAAAGCGCAAGCAGATGCGATAGACCTGTGCGCTGGTCAGACGACGGCGGCGGTGCCCCGGAGCAGACGAACTTGCGTGGCAGCAGCAGCGGTGGCGTGAAGAAACACGTTGAACCGGCGTCGCGCCACGCTCAGCGTGCGGCCGCGGTGTGACTTTGAGGAGGCAGCTGCGCCGCACGACGGCACACACGTCTATTTGTGACGCGCGCCGGCTCCCGCGGTCGCCAACTACAAATTTGTTTTGCGCCATAAATATAACTCTAAAATTTTTTTTTCTTCTTTGTAAATTCGTTTTATAACATTCTTTTTCCATCTAGGCTGTTTAAAAAAAAAAAGCTTTTTTCCTTTGCATGTGTCCTTTAAGCCTACTGATAATCAGACATGTAGTGAACATCAGTTTGCACCTGCATTCATGACAATGCATCGACAGTTGGCCATCTCGATGGCTGCTACGTTTTTGGTTGTGTTTGTGTAATCTATCATTAGCACACTTCCTGCTTGGCCTACCTATTTCCTGCCACACACCAACAGGATCTGATCTACGACTCCTTCTCCGCATGCAACAAACGTGCTCTGGTGCTTCTTCAGACAGCCTACGGGAGCATTTCTGAAAGGGTTCGCACATCTTGGAGAGTTTATCAGGTGCCGAAAAAAACTACCATTTACCCTATCATTAGAATGATTTGCTACCGTCTTAAGGTTGCATGTAGTCTTGTGCATAAATGACAGAACTGCCACCCTTTTTTGTTCCTTTTTTTTTTTAGCTATGTCTCGATTTGGAACATCTACTACTACTCTCTTTAAAACCCTTTCCGCAGCAAACACAAAGAGAATCTTTGGAAAACCGGCAGAGACAAAGCGCTCTGACTGCTCCTTGAGACACGAAGGTAGCGCGCATTGACATGACCTCCTAAGGGCCACCCCAAAATATTAATTTACAATTCCTCTTTTAACAAGTGCTGAATGCAAAAGGTTGAATGGCAAAAGGGCCTTATTGGCTCTAGGGACTGGGTGGTAAGCCCAACACACATGCTGCTTTGTGAGGAGGGTGAGCTTACTGTCTAAAAACTGAATGACATTTCTCCACATGTACCTCATGCATGGAGAGGATGAAGGGCATCAGTGTTTCAAAATGCAGCTAGCATGACTGTGGACGACATTCTGGAATTGCTTTCGTTTTACCTCGTCTCGACTTCTGCAAAATGGAACAATAGCATTTTCATTCAAAAGCGAGAAGCATGTAACGTTTCTTGTCTAGCGCCCATCTTGAGTGATAGATTTTTAGCCCATCATCAGAGACCTTTTGGACCACGTACATGGTTTTTATGTTGAAAAGGTTTTTAGATGTGATTTTTTAGTTTCTCTTGGCCATGATACTCCTCACTCACCCTCAGCAGTAAAAAGTCTTTTAACCATTTTCAGTAATGCCCTTTATCCTCTTCAACTGATGCATAAGGCACCTGTTGAAAATGTCATTCAGTTTTTAGACATTAAGCTCACCCTCTCGGAGCAGCATGTGTGTTGGGCTTGCCACCCGAGAGCAAATAAGCCTGTTACCATTCAACCTTTCGCACTCAAAACTTGGGTAAAAGAAATTGTAAATTCATGTTTTGTGAACGCGCTTACGAGGTCCTGTCAACATGCGATACCTTCAGGTCTGAAGGAGCAGTCGGAACGCCTGGTGACTGCCGGTTTTCCAAAGACTCTCCTTGTGTCTGTTGTGATGAAGGTTTTAAAGAAGCTTAGAAGCTCCAGATCAAGACATAGCCCAAAAGAAACAAAGGGCTTTTTCGGCACCGGATAAACTCGCCGAGATATACCAATTGATAGTTCCTTCATGAAAAGCTCCAGTAAGCTGTCTGAAGAAGCATCAGAGCCCACTTGTTGCACGTGCAGAAGGAGTCGTATATCAGAACCTTCCGACGTGTGGCAGAAAATACATACGCCAGACAGTAAGGTTTCTTAGCGATAGATTATGCGAACAGAACCAAAAAGTGAGCGGCCATCAAGATGGCCATCTACCTACGGACTGTCATGACTGGGGATGCAAACCTGTGTTCACTACATGCACGACTATTAGTAGGCACAAAGATAAAACGGTAAGAGAAATTATAGGAGCAGACTTACCATATTTACACAAATGTAGGTCGACCCATTTTTCAATTTTGAAAATCAGAAGTGGGGAGGGGTTGACTTACAATCGAACCAAAGAATTCCACTGCCGACAAAAACGAAACAATTCCGATATCAAGAACACCTTGACTTGTTACAAGTTCAGCAGGCTGTACTTGTAGCACTGCGCTATTCTGTGCACTCAACTTACAAGTATTTTTTTTTTTTTTTAATTTCGCAAGAAAGAGTATTACTGATAGCAATATGCAAATTAGCCTGAATGTACAGTGGTGAACAGCGCACGGCGTGTCCGACTCCCGGGGGTGGCAACACTTCTTGTAAGAGCCATTCCGGAATGGCCGCCAGAACAGTCTCACGCCTCACTCCTTGCAACTTCTTTTCGCAGTTTTTCACACAATTCACGGTCGCACGTCGTTTGATAGAGAGCCGAGATGATGCCGGAGCGCCAGCTATGTTTTTTTATATTGACACGCGTGGTACGGGCAGTTAAGTTTTCGGCGCTCGTTTATTTCCATCTTTCATCCAGAAGCAACCAACAACTGCACTGCTAGATGCAAGTTTGATCCGTCAGAGTGAGTGGTGCTCCAGTGGAGTCTGCAATGGCGCAGGATCTTAGGTGTGACGGCAAAGGAAGAGGCTTCCGCGGGCCAAAGTCTGGATAGGCCTTCCAAAGTTAGAAGGCAAACTTGCAACGTAAGCCACATAAATGCACAATTGGTCCCTACCTGCGACGTGCAACGCAATCATTGAGGAAGCGCGGAAGATGCAGTTGATGCAGTCATTTCCAAAGCGCGAGATTTCGTTGAACGACGCCGACGGCATGCTTCGAGAACATAGCAGTGATGACGACGGGACTGCCATTCCGAGTGCGGAGGAATCATAGTCTTTAGTCGAGAACAGCGTTGTCCCGCCTCACACGTGAGCATTCTAGTTTCGATAACACCTGGGCATCTGATGCTCCGCGTGCATGCACAGCCATAAAACGCCAGAAGGCATCAATCGAGTGCTGAAGGCTGGGCGTTCGGAAGACCTGCAGTTCTCCCGTGTGTAACGTAAAATATGCCTTAAAGATTTTCTTCTCGCTGACGCGCAATGTGAGGGCTTTGACTTACAATTGAGTCGACTTACGATTGTGTAAATACGGTAATCAAAAGTTGCGGCGATGAATGCGTCAGGGTGGCTTCAATTAATCTGGCAGATAAAGATACACAGCTCTTGCGAGCAGCAGCAGGGCACAAGACTGGTTGTCTGGTACAATAATGCAGAGGATATATTCCCACGTATTTTTGAGAATAAAGCGGCAGAAGTTAGCGCAATGCGTTGCCTTGTTTTTCCCTCTTGTCCGTGTCTATAAGTGCAACCATGTTTTCAAAGATTCAGCACCAACTCACCCAACAATCAGCACTGTCGAAAATGATCACTTTTCCCCATGGTGCGGAAAGAGTTAATTACTCCCTGGAATTTTGACGTCTATGCTGGGGTCCACATCAAGCCGTGACGGTAAAAGTGGTTTCAATCTCGCAACCGCCATGTTTTAATAATCACACAATCAAAACATTGAGCATCGGGGTTGAACCCGACAACCATAGTTCTAGTGCCGTAAAAGCGGCGGTGCTTTTGAAGCGTAGCTTGCTTTATGTCTCAACGCCTTTTGAAAGTGTACCTAGTTGGTGCAGTTCTTCAAGCAAAAATCTGGATTTCGTCTGGGAATTTAGGGCCTTAAAGGGACACTGACAGGGTATTTATGTTTGCAAAGTTTTTTTTTTTGTACATGATGCAATTTGCGGGTTGAAATTCGTTTTTTTTCCACCCAAAAACCGGTGATCGTGAACTGGCTGGTTTGAGTTGCGCTCACTCCCTTCTCTGTGGTCATGTGCCAACCACCAAAGATAATCACCCACCAAGTGGTGGGTGATTATCTTTTCTATAATTCCAAAATGTCCCTCGACAACCACCACAGATAACCCAAGTAGTGGGTTATCGAAGGCACATGCTCAATAGTAGTATAGACAGAAAATATGACACATACTTTTTGTGGTTTCTAAAAAACTGCAAATACGCTGATCAATAAAAAAAGTTGCAGAACCATGTGACTTCAGGCAACGCTCTCCTCTTTTATGTTTCTTCTTCCTCCCCAGTCTAGACTGAGTTTTGGTTTTAGGCAGTTGCGTTTTTGACTTTATTAAAGATATGTATGTGACACTCTAGCAAACTATTTTTTGCGCAAAAAAGACGGACACAAGAGAGAGAAACAAACACGAGCGCAACTTACAACTGTCTTTCCGTCCGTTTCTGTCCGTCCTTTTTTGCGCAAAACCATGTATCCAAATGTTCACCAACTCGCCGAACAACAAACTATTTTATAGCAAACTATTGATTGGGTTCTGACACATTTTAAAACACCTGGCAAAAAATTTCAAAAAAAGATTTTGGGGGGTGTCAGCGTCTCCTTAATTAAAAAGCCTGAGGAAGCCGAGGTTGAACCACACTCCACCATCTTTGGCCAGAGTCTGGGCATCTTGGCCCCAATTCGCCAAACAAGTGCCAGGCTGCGCCGCTGGTAGTTTGGTTCATACACAGCACACATAGCTCAAGTCCGGCACCTTGCCAACTGTGCGGCGAGCCAGAGAAAATTCATAGAAACGCCAAAGGAAAGCACTTTGACACTAACTAATGCCTCACAGCAAAACTGCATTAGGCCCAAGTTAGGCCCCTAGGATTATGAAGCCAGTGCCAAGTTTGGCGTTTCCCTGGTGTGCTACCTGGATGGGAAGGCATACCGTAGAGTCCCTCCATGTTGACGTTGGCCTGGTAGTTGATGAGCACCTTGGCAACATCGTGGTGACCTCCTATGACGGCAATGAGGAGCGGAGTCCGTCCCAGGGAGTCCAACGTGTCCACCGCCGCTCCGTACTGAAGCAGACGCTCCACAATCGAGGCGTGGCCCTGACTCGCCGCAATGTGGAGCGTTGAGGACCGGTCGCTGGAGCGGAAAGAAACATGGCAGAGGCTGGAGCGCTGCAGCTACCATGTTTTTAGGACTACGGTCTGCAAACTACTATCTTTCCCAGAGTTTTCTCATATATTACTTTTACAAAATTTTTTGTTGGGGAAGTTTATACAATGATGCATCTTGGTCTATATGCGCTTCTCTCTTACACAGGTATGGACCTTAACAGTGCAAGTTTGCTATGGGGTTTATATTTCTTGTTTCATTGGTTGGCGAAAACATTTAAACTGGTTCTACCTTGTGCACACACCATGGTCATAGTGTGCACTTTATACAAAGGCGCCACTTATATGCTTGAAAATATGATATGTGTCTAAAAGTTTATATTCTATGTCAAGGGTGCCAAGCTGCGACTCTTTGCGTGTTAAAAACGCGGCTAGCGGCTCCCTCCCCTACCCCCCTTTCCCCCCCTCCCCCGGTCACACAGCACTTCCCCAAAAAGGGAAATGGAAAGTGATTTAAATTGAAAGACAGGTTGCTGTTTGGTAGTCGTGTGCTGCTGCTATCTTATGTACAGTAGGACTGCTTTTGACTCTGATAGATTGAAAGTTGTTTATTGCTCTAAACAAAAAATTGCCCCCTCGAGTGAATTAACAAGACTGTAAAGGCTGCAGGTCATCTTTTTCAAAAATAGCTTGTCATCAGTGGAGCTGTCCCCTAAAGCAATTCCAAAGATAATTCCACCTGGGCGTTATTCTGCGAGAAAAGCTGAAAGTGTCACCGCGTTGCTTTCGCCCTCTATGCCCAGGCAGGTGATGTGCAAGGTAGCTGCGCCCAAGCGGACAATGTGGATCGGGCTCGATCTTGATGGTAAAAACCCAAACTGCTTGTAATTGTATAATCTTTACTACAGGTAAAGAAGTGACGGTAGAACCTTTCGAGAAGCACAGACGCAACGCCATCAAAATAAAGAACAGCGTTCACGCTCATTCTCGCTTCTGCTAAAACAATACAAATTGTATAAAACCAGCTTGAATCACATTTGTATTGCTTTATAAGTCTTGATTAGTGTCCAGTGTTCTCAGTAAATATCGAAAACGCCAAACTGTTTATTAAACAGTGTAAAGTTTCATCGAACTCGGGGGGAAATTAAGAACCCTGAAGAAATCCTCCACTAAAGCTTTGTTTTACATTTACCTGGAACACTGCTGCATTGAACTGTCTGCAAGGCTACTTTATTCTTCGAAAACCAGACCCTTTATATTGTTTTCTTTTGTTATCGGTTCCAGCACATTTTCCAAATACACGTATTCGGGTAATGTGCATGTTCGCAGGTGGTTGAGGGATCCTACGTCCGTTCCCCATTTTATTCAACTTAGTTAACTAAGTCCTGACAAATGGCAAATTTTTGGTCTAACACCAAAAAACACTACAGTATAGACCACTTACAACGTAACCGCTTATAGTGCAGGACCGGGTATAACGCGGTTTTTTTAAACCACCGGTTCGCCTCCCATAGAACTCCATGTAATTACATACCGCTTAAAATGCAGGCGCGCGAAGGGAAATACCGGTTATAGTGCGGTTTCTGGCGCAGCCCGCCGATCGCGACGACGACCGGAGCAGCGAGCACGCTTCCCTGTGCGACACTAGATAACGGCGCTGACGGCGCGAGCCGCAAGCGGAACTCGCGGGGCACGGAGGTTGCTCGGCTCGAAGGAGCGGGGAGAAGCGAAGAGAGAGGCTTTAGTTGCCATAGCGACGGAGGGACGCACGCACGTGTCGTTCACGTGCGTGCATCCCTTCGCTGCGTTGGAAACAAACCGCAACGACAGACCAATCACAGGTCCAGGAGAAGTGTTCGCGCGCGTTGCATGCCGGTGTGCCGGTCGCGGGCCGGCTGCTTCTCTCCGCAAACATGGCGTCGGTTGTGATCGTCGTCGTAGACGGCGTTCATCTCATCGTTCCGCGTAAAAGCGCTATCCTTGACTGTGAATTTTCGTTGTGTGTCACTATGATAACCCAGCACGTACTAGAAGGGAAGATCCACCTACTCGTGCGGCGATGTCGTGGCGGCGCTCTCAAGACGGCAGAAACGCCCGTGTCGTTGTGTTTGTTTACTTCGACTACAGTTGTGCTTTCTAAGCATTTGTGTCCTCGAACATCGCCCGGATTTCTTATTTCGCGCACTTCATGCGTGTGCTCAAGTTCAAGGTATTACTGGCGCGTACCGTATGAAGGCTGCGAATTTTCACGCGTTTTCATCTCCGGAGAAAAGTGATTAGGGTTACCAATCCTGAACGCTCGCAACGTCCGCCCGCAACCCGCGACGCCGTTAAAAAGGCTGCGCCAGGCAAAAGCCGCTCATTTCTTTCAAAATGTGTGACACACTTCAGACAGAACTGTACTAGTCTGGTGAAATAACGACTTTCCTCAAATTAAGCTTTATTTTTCATCTAACATAAAATAAATTCTTTTACAAAGGTAAGTTGTCTCATGGCATGTAATTTGGCCTGAAAAACTGATGTTTTGGTTATTTCATTTCATTTCATTTCATTTATTGGTACCCTCAGGGCCCGAAGGCATTACAGAGGGGGTGGGATTATTACGTACAAGTTAATGGAACACTCAAATCACAATCAACTTCTAGTAGTATTGATACAGCTTTTTTAAAATCAACAGGATTAACAATTGTGGCGATGGATGTGGAAAGGTGATTCCAGTCAGCAGACGTACGAGGTATGAATGATCTGTAGTAGGTATTAGTGTGGCACTGTGGAATTTCGACTTTATGTATGTGATCATTGCGTGATGATATGTAGGATGGCTCCAGTAGGAGTTCAGTCTTAAGTATAGGGTTGTGAAAAAATATTTTCTGAAATAAACTTAATCGATAAAATTTTCGGCGTAAAGAAAGCGCTGGCAAGGATAGGCATTTTTTCATAGAGGTTACGCTTGATGTACTATGGTAATTAGAAAGAATGAAACGCACAGATCTATTCTGGACAGCCTCCAAGGCGCCGACGAGGCTCTCAGTGTTAGGATCCCAAACAGCAGAAGCGTACTCAAGTTTTGGCCGGACTAGTGTTTTATAGAAAAAGAGTTTCAAAGTCGAAGGAGTCTGGAAAAAATTATGTTTTAGATAGCCAAGCATGCGGTTGGCATTGGAAATGACGTGGTTAACATGCGATTCCCATGAGAGGTTAGATGTGATGTGAACGCCCAGATATTTGTAAGTGTCAACCCGCTCTAAAGTCATATTATTAAGGATATAGGAAGGAGGATCGTTTTAACTCGCCTGGAAATTATCATGTGTTTACACTTATCGACATTTAATGACATGTGCCAAGAGTCACACCAACTTGAGATGGAATCGAGATCATTTTGAAGAAGTAATATGTCGGAACTGTTAACAATTTCGCGGTATACAACACAATCATCTGCAAATAAACAAATAGAAGATGTTACATTCAATGGTAAGTCATTAATGTAAATGAGAAAGAGAAGAGGGCCAAGCACAGATCCCTGAGGTACTCCGGACGTTACTGAAACTTTGGACGAGTCGGTATTATTACAACTTACAAACTGTGAACGATTAGTTAGAAATGCGCGAATCCACGAAAGTACATGCGGTTCAATGTTAAGTTTGTGAAGCTTAAGAAGAAGAAGGTTATGAGAGACCCTGTCAAACGCCTTAGAGAAGTCAAGAAAAACACTGTCAATTCGTGAACCACGATCTAGAACGCGATGGAAATCATTTGTTAGTCTTACAAGTTGTGTCTCGCATGAAAAAAATTTCCTAAAACCGTGTTGGTTAACGTTGAAGAATGAATTAGATTCAAGAAAATTAACCAGATTAGAATAAATTATATGTTCCATCGTTTTACAACAAATACTTGTGAGTGAAATGGGTCTAAAGTTAGAAGGGGAATGTTTGTCTCCAGTCTTGTGCAGTGGAATCACCCTTCCAGTTTTCCAGTCGTCTGGAAGCTGACCTAGTGAAAGAGATTGCTCAAATAGTTTAGACAAAATGATTGATGTATATTCTTTTGTATTCTTTAGAAACTTTGAGTTAATATTGTCAACACCAGATGACGATGATTGTTTAGTTGACTCTATAATCTTTAAAATGCCATACTCATCAATGACAATTGGATTCATGGGAAAAGTCATATGAAGGATATGATGGACAAAATGAATCAGTAACATTATTAAATACACTAGAAAACATGTCATTGAGAACAGTTGAACATAGTGAATTGGGAAACATTTCACCGGACTCATTTCTAAGTGAAAGGGAACGCTCAACACTGGGATTCATCACACTCCAAAACTGTTTAGGATTATTAATTAGCATAGATGGTAAGCACTCATTAAAGAAGTAATATTTAGCCTCCCCGACTGCTTTTTTGTATTCATTCGCTGCGAGATTATAACGTTGCCAGTATTCCTCCGAGTCAATGCGCTTTGCGTTTCTGAACAAACGTTTCTTTTTATTTGAGAGCTTTCGGAGTTGAGGAGTAAACCATGGAGACTGTGTGTTTGTTATAATTGAGCGTAATGGAATGTGCTCATTAAATAAAGAAATGGCTTTGTTTTTATATAAGTCCCAATTGGTTTGAACGGAACGCTCGCAAAACTCTGGCAAAAAGTCCTCCAAAAAACAGCACAGACCTTTATTAATCGCTGCGTAGTTGGCCCTCTTGTAATCCCGAATTTGTTTGATCTGTTTTGTATTAGGGCACACGGGAGTTATAAAAGAAAAATTAAGCAACGAGTGATCACTGAGACCAGGAAGGTATAAAATATCAGAAATTAAATCAGGTGTATCAGTCAGTATCAGGTCGAGCACGTTCGCCGAGGAGTCTGTTGTCCTTGTCGGAAATCTTACAATTTGCGAAAGGTTAAAGTCAGAACATAGATTTAAGAACTGGTTACATTCAGTTGAGGGGTTTTTCGATGAAGAACTTAAATCAGACCAGATGATGCCGGGATGATTAAAGTCGCCCATAAGAAAAATGGGTAAGTTTGGAAAGCGAACACGGACAAGGTTAATTGCATCATGAAGTTGCTCAACAAAAGTATTTGATCCTGTTGGAGGACGATAGCAACAGCCTAATACTAGCTTTTTGTGTCCAATGGAAAGACCTACCCATATTATCTCAAGATCAGATTTTATGTTTATCAAAAAAGATTTAAGTTCAGGCACAGCTGCTATCAAAACTCCGCCTCCAGAACGTTCCCTGCGGTCATTCCGGTAAACATCAAAACTTTTACTACAATGAAATATTTCAGAATCCTTAACTTGAGAGGAAAGCCAAGTTTCAGTGAGCACAACCAAACCAGCATCACATGAGTCAATCATTGAGCATAAGTCATCGCGTTTTTTAATCAGACTTCGAATGTTAGAAAAAACAACTGGCACGTTAACTGGTCCCCCGCCCCTCTCGGACCGCTAGGCGGAGCCAGACGGTTGAGAAAGGGGGGCTGAAATTAGTGGAAGCACGCTTACATTTCTTTCAGAGCGTTGGAACGAGGTTGACACACATATTCGGTCTTCTTGGGGGTTGTACGTATAGCAGTTGTTATTGTGATAAAGCTTGTTGAAACGCAGTTTGAAAGTACTTCCTTGGGATTTGCCAAATTCTATTAGTTTTCTCCTAGCCAGGCGAGTAGCAAAAGAAAAATCTTCACTGACAGTCACGCCTACCGTTTTTAGTTGCATTTTGCAAGATAAGATAAGATCCCTTGTTTTGAAAGAAGAAAACTGTACGATGATGGGGCGACATTTGTTCGCAGCAAATGCCCCTAGCCTATGTGAGCGCTCTATACCAAATGTTCCGCTTATGGAAGGCAAGAAGCATTCAGAGAGCAGGCTTGTTATCTTTTGTTCAGCGTCACTCCACGTTTCTGAAGCAAGATCAGGAATACCGTAAAAGATAACGTTGTTTCGACGAGACCGGTCCTCCATATCATCAAGACGCTCCCGCAGAGCGATGTTTTCGCTCCGTAAGCTATCAGCTGCTTGACCGGCGACACCGTATTGTTGCTGTTTTGTTTCAAGAAGGATTGTTTTAGTCTCAACGACATGCAACGTTTTGTTAATGTCAGCCACCTCTTCTTGCATAAGTTTCTGGTTTTCCTTTATCTCATTTACACTGGTAAGCAGCTTTGCCTGTCCCTGTTCAAACTGAAGCGAGCGAGCATTCAAGCTCTGTAAAAGATCATACATTTCGCTAAACCTGCTTAACCTGAACATCGCTCATGGGACCCGGATTGGCCTCAACATCGCCACAACATAGCAAAGACTGAACAGTGTTTCTGACACACTCAAAAAAATGCACATATTGGTGTGGGCAAGACACCAGCAGTAAAAAACGATTATCGGATCGGTAACAATGATCATTCCTTCTTCCACATACCTGGACAAAGAAGAAGACTCGTTTAAGCATGGTGAACGAGCTGCTGCTGTCCTGCCCACTGGCGTCGAAGCCTTACGTTATAGCGCGGTACCACTTATAGTGCGGATTTTCGCGACTCCCGCGACATACGTTATATGCGGTCTACACTGTAAATAGGTGTGAAAAAAAAAACCCTAAAAAAACTCCCGCAAATTCGAAGAAAAATAAACCTTTAAAACACGGAACTCTAGTCGTGATTAAGTGCTATTCATCGGGGAACTAACGAGTTCTTTTCTAACAAAAGTAAAACATGGACGAAGGAAGCACCCAGTGTGGACTGCGCCCCAAGTGCAGACTAGGTAGCTAAAAAAGAGCACTTTTCAGCCAAAAGTCTCCAGATGCAGGGAACAGACTTATAGCCTGGAAAACACGGCAACAGCAGCACGAAAGGCGGACGTCGAACCTTTGCCATACTAGCGTGGCAAAGTCAATGGTAACACAGAAGGCGATGTATTTGTTCAGAGAAAGAGTGTACACATGCATATGAAGACCGTATGGTGCGAAGCGGCCCTGTGTCGTGCAAGTTAAGTGCATGAATGCTCCGTGGCTGTCTTACTAGTGGGTGCCATCCCCTGCAGTTGCGATGTAAATGCAACTTTCTCAGAGCCTGTTGGAGGGAGACGCACTAGACAAAGCGTGCAGAAAACAACAATTGGAATGCGGCAGTGCCGAGCGGAGCCCTGGACCAGCTGCGGCGAAAGAGAACCAAACACTCGGAGCTACCTCAACCCCTTGTGGCAAAGGAATCTGCTTTTTTTTTCTCTCCGCTTTCCCGTTGCTCTTCCTTGCACTCTTTCCCTGGGGAAGGCCAGAGAGCACTCGCTCCGTGCTCGTTTTACGGAGCAAAGCGCCGCTGTTTGTCTGAACACGTGATGTTGTGACACTATCACGCCGTGTCGACTGAAACAGTTGACACAGCGTGATAGTGTCGACTGCTTCAATGTCACACGCTGTCTGAGTCAGTGTCACGGAGTGCCAGTGTCATACAGTGTCACACTGTGTGAGTCAGTGTCACAGTGTCAGTGTCACACTGTAAGTCACATTGACAGTGTGTTGTGACACTGACACTGTTACAACAGACTGTCAACGTGCGTCGTGACAGTGTCAGTGTGACACTGACAGTGTCAGTGATGTTGCGACACCAGGCACGTTTCATATGCTTACGTCATGCCAAGCACCATACCATTGTCTTTACAACGTAATTTCAGCCTCGTCATCCGTCAATGTTCCTCTGCAGACTGCAGTGATTGGCGCTCTCAAGTGGTTTTCAAGAAAGCAGATGCCCCAGATTTTGTAGAGTGTGGGGCTTATACAGGGTGTCTCCCTTTAAGCTTAACAGATCTGTTAACAAAAAAGCTATAAAAGCCACAGTGATGTGGTTTGCGCAGGTCACTTATACACACAGGGGGACATAACATGGGAGCTAATTGTCACAATAAGTCAAATAAATAATGAGAATTTGTAAATTGACCTTCTAATTAGTGAAATAGACGTGTTTCCAATTAGAAACTTGCTGGGAATCATGGAAAAGCACTAAATCGGTAAATTTTTGAAAGACTGAGCGTGCGGGAAGCGCAGTAGTGCGCTAAAGTTACCACCCTTGCAACACCATACCTGCCAACCTACCAACATAAAAATTCAAAAAACCGCCGTGCAAAAAAAAAAAAAAAATTTGTTTTAGAAATTTGGGAATTATTGCAACTGACATTGGAAAGAGGGAAGGGTGGAGACTCACTAGTTTATTTTGAAGTGTTGTTGTTGCATCGTCAGAAACTCTTCCAAGTAGGGTCGTGAAGACAAGCGTCGGGGGGGATACATTTGCGAACTGCTGTTGTTGCTTCCGTCCAGGGCGATTGCAAAAGCACGGCGTTTCAGCGACTCCAGCAGTGAGCTTTCAAAGTCTGCAGCCAATTCTTCGACACGTGCTTTGGTACGTCCGCATCTATAGCGCTTCACGTCGCCATACTTCGGGAAAATCTTGCGAAAACACGGTCCCGTGGAATCACTCACGCTTAGTGGCAGGTTGTGTTCGACAAGAAATCTCGTGAAGAGGCACTCTGCGCGGATTACACCGTCTTCGCAGTTCTTTTGGAGGAAACTGCCGATGGTGCCTTGCCCTTCTGCAGCACAAACATAGTTCTGATGCTTCTGTGAAGCAATGTGTATCTTAATGTCGGCCTTGCCGCTGTGCAAAACGCTCACATCACAGGCGCACGTGGTACAGGAACCATACCTGTCACCTTTCCGCAAAGTGACAAAGCAAGGAAACTTAGTCGTGTATGATCCGAGAAATACATGCAAGTACTTCTTCTTGGCTTTTGAAAGCGCTATCAATCGTTCCAATGATCCAACTAAATAACTAACCTGGCGGAAACACAGAGAAGTTCGACGTTCCGCCCTTGTCTCGACAACCCAACGAAGCCAACTGAAGCATAGCGCACCCACAATCATATAAGCCGTGTGCGAAAATGCGCTTGAACTTACTCTAGAGTAGAGGTTTCGTACCTTGGCGTTTGAAAACCTACCCTCGTTTTACGCTGCTGCTCTGACCGAGTTGTCACGTGGTAACTGACTGGAGTAACCTAAACCTACTCTCGAGGAACTCGCACTGACACGTGGATAACAATTATGGCAATAAAACATAAAAAAAAAAAAAAAGCTACTATTGCTGGTTGTTTTTTGAGAGATTTGAGGCAGCGTTTGTACAATCGGGAGATGGGATCAAGGTTCGGGAAGCTCCTGGACAATTCGGGAGGGTTGGCAGGAATGCAACATGCGCATGGCAAGGCTGAGAAAACACTGATGATAAAAGAGATGAAAAAACACGCCCGTGATCGTATTGGTGGCCTTGCTCCCGCTGCACCCAGTAGTAAGTTTAGCGCTCCACCGTGCTTCCCATGTGCTCCAACTCTTTCTAATACTGACCGATGTGGTGGTTTTCGATGATGCTCAGAAAGTTTCTAGCTAGAACCATATGTTTATTTTCAACGATTAGAACGTTAATTAAAATAGTTTAGTTCTTTAGCCGAGTGATCGTTACGATTAGCCCCCATACCATGTCCCTCTGTCCGCATAACTCGCCTACACAAACCGCATTAGTACAGCTTTCCCGGCTTTTTTAAAACAAAGGTTAAGCTTAAAAATAAACACCCGTATAACAGATGCGCCGCTTTTGTTTAATTTACGTTCCATCTCACATTGAGTCCACCTAAACTTTGTCTCAGAGATTGAGCAACCCCAAACAGCCTATTAAGCCATTTTTCAGAAGCTGGGGCATTTTTCCAAGAATTCATAGACGAATCGAAATTTGGCAGGGAGTCTCCAGCCCCACAGGAACCAATCGGGAGGCTGCTCACCTGTTTTTCGAGTTGACCCTGCTTCCAGCCTTGAGCAGCATGTGAGTGACCTCTTCGTGACCCCCCGTGACGGCCAGCTGGAGGGGGGTCACATTGTCGCTGTCCGAGACGTTGATCTTGCAGCCTGGCGACAAAGACGCCATGCCCTCCTCTTAGTTCGGCGCAAAAAAGCACCAAATGCACGTAAAAATAGGTTTGATATAAAAATACGCAGCAAAAACTTCAGTCTAGTTATACACAGACTGAGAAAGTTTTGGGACTTTCTGAGAGATGTCTTTCGTAGCAGGTGGTTATGTGTAGCTGCAATGGGGTCGCTCACACTCAAAACAAGAATCCGTGATCCAGACTTTACATGTAATGTCCCGTTGTATAATTCACAGTTTTTTCTCAAACATTTTTCTTGGTGCGTCTTATACTGATAATCACAGAAAAGTCTTTATGTATCATAAGGGTAATTTTGAAGCTATAGAGAAAGGGCTGACTGAATCTTTCGAAGATTTCGAGCTTTTCTCTCTAGAAAACAGTAAAGAAGCTACATGGGAATTTTTCAAAACTCGTTTGCTGGAATTAATAGGAAAATACGCTCCCGTTAAAATAATACGTGCAAAAGCAATGAATGATAAGCCCTGGATGAGAGCTGCCGTAAAGGTGGTGATAAAAAAGTGCAGACGTGGTTATAAAAATTATAAATTACACCCATGCATATCGGCAGCCGCAGAGCTAGAGAAACTGAATGTAACCTATAAGGAAGCTATTACCACTGCAAAATGTGAGTATTTTCATAAACTTTTCGATGGCATGCGACTTAGTAGCAAGGAATTTTGGGAATACCTCAGAAAGACGCGTAAGGAGAAGATGGAAATTCCAAATATATTATACCTTGGGGAAGTAATTGAAGGAAGTTACAAAAAATCAAGCTGTTTTAATACATACTTCCAGTCTATTTTTGCCTCCAGCGTCAGAACTCATTCTTACCCCCCCTTCCCTCAATGAACAAATTGTAAATCAAATGCCTCCGGTCGTCATGAGTGTAGAAGGGATAAAGAAGTGCTTCGATGAGCTTGATATTAGAAAGGCCGTAGGTCCCGATGGTTTGACACCGGGAGTTTTAAAATTATGCTCGTTTGTTGTGTCTCGCTACTTAAGGATTATTTTCTCTAAATCGCTAGAACAAAGTGTACCCCCAGGTCAGTGGAAGATGACGTGTGTTACGCCAATCCATAAGCACAGATCAAAACACAATGTAGGGAATTATCGCCCCATATCACTGAGCTGCACATGTTGCAAAATTTTAGAGCATATTGTTTATAGTAATGTTGTGAGGCATTTCAATACAAATAGATATTTCTCTTCTACTCAACATGGTTTTAGAAAGGGCCTCTCATGTTCCACACATCTTGTAGAACTTTATCATGACTTGGTTTCAACTCAACTGCTGAGGGGGGAGGAGAAACGCACGCCATCTTTCTTGATTTACGCGAGGCTTTCGATAAAGTGTCTCGCCCTTTGCTGCTACACAAACTGAGCTCCCTTAGCCTTGATGAAAACATATACCGTTGGATTGAAAATTACCTTTCTGGGAGAAAGCAGTGTGTTGTCATAAACGGTGCAAGCTCAGATCTTGTTGATGTGACTTCTGGCGTGCCGCAGGGTTCAGTGCTGGGACCCCTTTTATTTCTTGTATTTATTAATGACATATCATCGAACATTAACTCGCACATAAGTCTGTTTGCGGACAATTGCGTTCTGTACAGCAGGGTAGACAGTGTTGGTGATTCAGCTTTTTTGCAGTCGGACCTAGATAAAATATCGGATTGGTGCAGGATTTGGGAGTTGGGCTTAAATGTGGAAAAATGTATGCAAGTCACTTTTGGGAGGAAACGTAACCCTGTCCATCATGCTATGTTATTGATGATCCTAAATTGAGTAATAACACTGATGTTAAATATTTGGGGATTACTTTGTCAAGCACCCTTTCTTTTAATGTTCATGTCACTGAAACTGCTAAGAAAGCAAGACGCACTTTAAATTTTCTTATTCAAAATTTACGCGGTGCTCCACAGAAACTAAAAGAGACTGCCTATTGCTGTTTGGTAAGACCTACACTGGAATACGCATGTGTTCTGTGGGATCGCATCAGAAGTACCTTGCAGATAAGTTAGAAAAACTTAAAAACCGTGCGGCGAGAATTGTAACAGGAAGTTATAATAGTAACAAGAGTGTAACAGAGACTAAAAATGTACTTGGTTGGGAGACTTTATTGTGAAGGCGCAAAGATTTTCGATTGAGGTTCTTGCTCGCAATTTTTTATGATATGACTGGTATTGATAAAAGCAACGACATAAAATTACCTAACTACATTTCAAATCGTGTGGATCATACCAGAAAAATAAGAGAAATTTCTTCTAGAACAGATTATAAGAAGTTTTCATTTCTTCCACGCACAATCGCTCAGTGGAAACTGTTACCAGAGTCGTTTTTTATTCGTAAGGACGTGGAACCATTTATCTCAGGAAATGGTCTTGATTTTTAATGTTGTTTATGTTCAATGTTTATGTATTTTCTCTATAGACAGCCCAGGTTGTATATTTAAGCGTTCTGTGTTTATTTTATTGAGCGTATCAATCCATGGGCTGTACCTGCCATAATGCCGAAGTTTTTGGCGCTGCAGGTTTTTTTCTGTAAATAAATAAAACAATGCAACCTATATGTGGGTTTCTAAAAAAAATTTACCATTGCGAACGCCATTTTTTTATGCACCAGCGCCGCCTTTTATAAAGCACCGTAACTACATAGCCATAAGTGTGTTGCACCTTCCAGGAGGCAGTGCTGTCGACGCACTCTTCCACACTCTTCATAGCCGACTCAGAAAGCGAGTTAATTGACAGTTTCCCCAGTTTGCCGCTTCCCTAAAGCAGCTCTATCTGGATAGGCAAGGCAGTGAGAATAAATCTTTTACAGCATGTGATTGACGTTGCCTAATTCAGCCATAGTTCCGTATTCTTTTGCTTCAGTCCAGTAACACTGAAATGTAAGTGGGCTGGTATACACACACTGCAGAAAATCTACTCGTGCGTCTTTCTTAGTTTCCATTAGATGAGCACTTTTTTTATGCCATGCTCTAGCTGCGCCACTACATGTAAAAGGGATTGCGGCTAGCTGATCTTTTAGCGGTACCAAAAGAGTGTGTATCAAGACTTCCTATCTGCCTGCACGTTGATGCTCGCATCGTCTCTGTGACTTGGCTCAGGCTAGGCCTAGTGGTCGAAAGCTTGTTTCACAACTTTCTGGCACGTTGAACTTTCGTTCATTCAGCACGGACATCTGAATAAATTTGACTACCTTCTCACTCTGCATGTTTTATTTCCTTTTGCTAGGGAACACTCGATTGCCCCCGCCAGACAGCGCCGTGCTATGGCCATTTCTTGCGAGTCAAAATGTCAAAGTTGTTGCGCGTCAAACAGTTTGTGGGAAGTTGCCAATCGTGCGAAGCTCCCATTTCGCGATCTCTATCCGTGTAAAAAGAAAAAAATTCATGGCGTGAACCAGGCACGTAGCCAGGATTTTGTTTTAGGGGGGGCCCGCCCATGACAAAATGCTGTACGAGGGGGAGCGGGAGAGGAGGCCCCAGCAAGATGGAAGATTTTGGGGAGGGGGGGGAGGGGGCCGGGCCCCACAGGGCCCCCCCCCCCCCCATTGCTACGTGCCTGGCGTGAACCACGCGAAGAGGTGCGACTTATACAAAAGTGCAACTTGTATACCAAATTTTCTGCAAAAACTGCTCAGTATACAGAAGTGCGACTCATTCGAGGGTGCAACCTACAGTTCGGAAAACACGGTTTGAGAAACAGTCTCAGAGAGATCTTCAAACAGACGTCCAAGCTCACCGGCCTTGATGAGGAGGTCGAGCACCTCCGGCCTGCCTTGCTGGGCCGCGTAGTGGATGGGCATCCGGTCGTAGAAGTCCGGCAGGTTGACGTCCGTCTTGCGACGCAGCGGGGCGAGGCGCCACAGGGACTGGAACAGCCCCAGCCCCCTCTGGTGCGGGTTGTCCCGGTGGTGGGACGAGGCGTCGCGTGGCAGGTAGATGCACGGCAGGGGGTCCTCCTGGAGGCCCGTCTTTCGGGGGGAAACGTCCTGAAGACGGTCCAAGAGGTGGGCCTTAGTCATCTCTAATAAGATGTCTTCCATGTTCACAAGCCACACTGCTCGTACACAGTACAAAAGACGCAGTGTTCGCCACGGACATGACGACAGGGTTATTTGCAGACGTGCCCCATGGATGTTCAAAGCATGTTTGCTTCATACATATGTATACTTCGAACTTGTCTGCATGCAGTTTTTATGTGACCATGGTGACAGTGACATCATACGGGGAGGAAACATGCCTCGGACAAAACGCCTGCAGACAGTCTTCTGTAGGATGTATTAGCAGTGTGACAGTGGCTTCATGATGTAATCGAACAACGGAATCTCCGGAGAAACCCGAGTCTGTTGTAAAGCTGTGAGAAGGAAAGGTTGCGAGGAGGATGCCGTTCAGAAAATATGAGCAGGCGTTCTCAAGACGGAGTTGCGTTTAGCTGAGGCGGTGCAAGTTTTCTTGATGCAAATCCATTTCCGACAGTGTATTCGCGCAACAAATATATTTTTTGTGGGGAAAGCCGAGTACCATTTTGAAGGACTGCGGTAGGGCAAAGTCAAGAGAAGGAAAAGACGAAACTCAAAATCTGAGCGAGTCCTCGCATGACGGAATCGCGTGTGGCTGACCCGGCAGAGTCTTTCTTTATGTGAATGTGTTTGTGATCTTCGTAGACTCATCCAACAAAAGGCAGAAAAAAAAGACAAAAGAATCAGAAGGGGACTTCACAGCTCATTGCTGCTGACCATAATCCTTTTTCAAAAGAAGGAGGACCAGAAACTTTGACGGGACGGTGGATGTTTTGTCGTCTGGCCACCGATTCCCGGCAGCTTTCCGCGGGCACCAGGGATTAGCGAGCACCCATGACACTCTAAGACATTTATTCCTCTTCTTAGAGAAAGGCTCCGTCGCACAAATAAGCTAATAACATACTCTTATGACTGCTAGTTCGCCATATAGTAACTGTATATGCACCACTTGCACAGCAGAGCAGCGCAGCAGTCTTCCCTTATTGATCCAAGAATGACACGTTGCAACGGCGGAGTGCCAGTGGTAACCCTCTCCCTCGAAAGCATGTGCTCTACGTAGAGAGCGTTGTCGTTGTCTGCTTGTCCTTGGATCATTTTCGAGCATATGACCCCCGCACCGCCAATGCGGAGTTGGTGGCGAAAGAAAAAGGAATGCTACACCTTGGCTCTGCCATCTAGTTACTCTAGTTAACGGCATTGTATCGTAGGTTCCGTGAATACCAGTTCAAGTCGAACAATGCCGCATAATAGACAATATCTGAAGAGAAAAGGTATAAGAAGAGGACAGTATATAGAAGTAGACCTTTGCAGTGTGAAGGTAACAACGTCATTGATCTATTATTTTTCAAAACCCCATTAGTGGCTCCCTAAAAGGGGTAGTGCAATGACCTTAGTGTTAAAAGAATTTGTAGTTTGTATTTTTTTATTTTGTTTATAGAAGCACAAGAGACCAAAAACGCGTCACTTTGCCCCGAAATACTGCTATTCCGCCGCGTAATCACAAAGGAAAAAATTAATTATTTGCCGATCTGCGGCTGCGTGTGGCAGATAGGGGAACTACAGTGGCGTTTCTGGGGGATACGTAGAAGGCAACAAAATGTGTCCCCCTACGCTGCTACAATCGTCATCAGCCTCGTCAAAGATTGCTCACCACAACCTTCGAGAATGCTAATCCTCAAAAAGTCGACAGACACGGAGGAAGCGACTGGGGTCTTTGAAGAAAGAACCCAATTGGAAACCAGGCAATCCCCCAGAGTGCGTCACTCGAATGACAACTTGGGAAGTGGAGAGAAACTCTTTCATTTTTTTTTTTCATTTTTTTTAAATAAAAACTAGCACGCACAAGAAATCCCGGTTTTCTTTTCTTCTTTCTATAGGCAATGCAGATTAATTCCTGCAGTTAATTGGCCAAAGTCCGAAAATCATTGCACCGCGCTCAACCGCGCACAATCTTTGCACGAGCCAGCAGCCACCAATGTGAGGAAGCACATGCAACGAAAGTGACACCATAGTCCTCAATTGACGCTTAATTAAGACGACGGTAAAATCATAATGTATGGGTTTCGGGCAAAAAGAAAATAAAGACAGGCTTTTCATCTCCACAAGTGAAAGCTAGGTGCTTATTAGACCAATTGATCGCCTACCTTTTACACCAGACCCCACTGTGGAAATGAAAACCTCGTCGTTATTCTCCTCCTTCCTTGGAGCCCACACATTTCACTATCATCTTAAGCATGAATGGGGGACTACGACATTAATTTCGTTACGTTTGCTCGTGCACACCAGCGGCTGCTGGCTCGTGGAAATATTGTGGGCCACTTATTACAGACACTGAAATATTTCGCCGAGCATCCCTTTAAAGGGATCCTGCAACTATACTGAATTCAAATTCACTAACTACATGTACCTATATTCACTCAAAAAAGAATAAGAACAGACACACATGCGCTGCAGACCGGGTGTGTCTTTCAAATGCCTGGGCACATGCTCCGTGCTTTCCTTCGAGCTTTCGCTGTGCGCATGCCCGGGGGGCACGAGACGCATCACTTAAGGTAGGAGGCTTGCGCCGGAGGCAGGGCAACCAAAGCTCCTCCTCACCATTCTCACTTTATCAGTGACTACAGAAAGGCACGAAAAATTTAGCCAAGGATTGGGGAGCAAAAACTGTGGTTTTCCCCAAGAAATCTTGAAAATGAGGTGCTGGGTGAATTACCATATAATGTGGCTCGAGCACTGTGTCACCAGCGTGCCTGTGCTAGGCTACAATAAAAGGGTAGGGTGCTACCGGCACGTAAAAGTGAGCACTTTAACATGCTCCCTTTTGCGTGCATTAGGTTTCCCATGGCCCGGCGAAGGACGTGCTCCCGAAATGCTGCGGTTTTGCTTTTTCTTTTTTTTTCTTCTTCTTTTTGCGCGTTTTTTTTTATCACACGTTATTATTTTCCGAGGTAACAATCAACTCTTGGGCGCATATTTGAACAAATGGCACGGGTAAGGAAATGACCGAAACCCAATGCCACTCGATGCCCAGCACATGCTGAAGAACAGCCAACCCAGGGACCTGACTTCTATGAACATTGGCCGCTCAAGATAGCAAAAGAACACTTGTCAGCTCGTTTAACCCACGAGCCAAAAGAGGACGCACTGAAACACCTCGCAGGCTTCAATATGTCATGATTTGAGTGACTGCTCATTTTGTTAATGAGTTGAAGCAAGTCGGCTCGGGTTCTCAATATTATTTTTTTTACTAATTCACCAATCACAACTTAGTTAGATCTGAAATATCATTTGATGGCTCCTTTAAATGAACCAATTTAAGTTTCATTTCTGACAGCATTACAAAAAAAACACATACCCTCATTAGGATGTGCTATGCAGAGCGCAGACCTATGTCAGAGAATGCTCCAGCCTTACTCCCAGAGCGGTTCAACTTTCCTCTGCCTTCTGTCAGCAATCACTTTCTCTACAGCATCAATTGAACACTCAACGGTCGCATATCAAATCAAGAATCGAACACAACAAAAAACGGGAGGGGCAACACTATACGCGAGCTGTACGCACAAGATTCACGGGTCTTAAACTCTTTGACCTCGAAGACCGGCCATCTTCTTTGACCGACAGCCGAGGAATTGCTCCCGGCCTCGGCTCTGATGCCATGAAGCGATGCAGAAGACTACAAGCCTTGTAAACAATAGCGAACGTCCTACATTTTCACGCGGGCAACTTTCTGTGGCATTTCAGAAGAAGTGAAGGGTGTGGGTGCACAGCTTTGGGCTCAAGATGTGCAAGCGCACAAGCACCCACAGCTTTGACTGCATAGCCACAGAAAGTTGTCTGCCAGTATAATGTGTGCTCCGTGCATCACTAGGCGGCTCAGATCTTCTACAATAAAAAAAATGACCGCACCTCCACGTGGTGAATGATGTTGATTGGGGCAAAGCTCTGGTGGTGCTGATGATACTGATTTTGCTCATAGGTAGTGCTGATGGTGCTGATCTTTTTTTTATTGCTCCAAGGTAGTGCTGATTTCCAGGTTGCGTTGGCATGGAAAGTGTGGTATGAAACGTGGTTATATACGCATTTGAGCATTTGACTGCAGCGCTCTCTCTCGTCTATAAATGTTGAGCCAATGCATGCAAAATTTAACGCGATTATATGCGCATTTGACCGCAGCGCCCTCTCCTGTATGGACGCCGAGCGGCTACATGCAACGTTTCATCCATGACATCCCCAGCTCTTGAGTTACTACCACATCTCAGAGCCCCCTGCTCGTCCCGCAATCGTGGCCGAGTGTTTAAGGTGATGGACTAGAAATCCATTGGGGTCTCCCTGCACAGGTTCGAATCCTGTCGACTGTGCAAACATTTTTTTCTTTTGCACAGACGCACGGACACCGGACAAGGCTAGACCGTAAGGAGCTTCACCCCTGAAAGTGCTTGAAGTGAAGGAACATCTCCTTTTGGGGGAAGGTACGGCCAAGAGAGCGTGAAGCCTCGGAGAACCCTCGACGGTACTCTGGGCGAACACCAGAGTTCCTGGGAATCCAGTTTGAGGATCCCCGGCACAGACCATACCTCGTCGTTGCTGCGGTTCCAAGCTGCATCATTGGGACGAAGGAACGCGTCAAGGGTGTCGTCCAAAGAGTAAGGATCCTCAGGCCCAGCCGAGTACTCGCTGTCGTCGGCCGGGAAAAAATCCTCAGCGTGCAGCAAGACCTTCAACACTTCTAGGTTGCCAATCTGTACGGCTTGGCCCAGCAACGTGTAGCCGGACTGGACGAGCGTGTTGACACGAATGCCTATCGGAACGAGAAAGAATAATGATTTAGTTAGAGCAACCTAAACTCTCTAGAATGAACTCAAAACGATGTTATCTATAGTCGGTTGCAGGTTAAGAACAGCAGGTCAAGCTCCGCCCCCACGAAGGCCCTTTCTCTTTTTACTCAAGCACAGCGAACGCTGGAATGAAGGCGAGTGGAGGGGAGCAAACCACCAATCGTGGAGAGCTCTGTGCGATTGGTCTGTCCTTTTCTAGACCTGCAGCAGAATAAAGTTTTTAGCCAGACTGATCGACTAAGGACCTGTCAGGCCCGAAACGCTTCTGCACCATCTCCACTGCTGTCTCCCCACCCCAACAACTAAGGCCAGGATTGTTTGACCATATTACTTAAAAAACCTTGTTTTTTTCAATCCAGGTTAGGCCATCCAATTTCAACAAGCCACTAAGCATCTTTCAAACAGCTGAGTGGACGACCAAGTTGACCGTTCGTTCCGATTTGCGACAAAGAATTGAAGATACGGTATGTGCGTCTCAGTTCGAAGGCGCACGTCTACGTACCTTCCCGAAGAAGAGCTTTGACGTTTTCGACATCACTACGTGTGACTGCTTCGTACATAAAGTCGCCTAGCTCGGATGACATGTCGCATTTGAGATGGAAGCACTCTCGAGGCTGCGGTTTAGTCACTCGCCGGAATCAAATGCACTGCGCGCAGACGAAGAGATGGGATTATCGGGAATGCGTATCAGTTTTAAGGGGCCTCAACCAGTCATTGGCAGTGATATGCGAGTAAGCGTTAGTCTCGATCATCTCGCCGATTGTCTTCAAGGATTGAAAGCCGCGAGAGAAGATAAAAACAGCGGGGCAGCGGTTCAGCGACAGCAGAGATGGAAATGGATCGGATTGGATTGGATTGGATTAGCTAGCTTTCATTTCTCCGCGGATATTTGAATAAAAGAGGCGCTTTTAGTAAATAAAAAACAAAGCGATATACGTGAATTAACGAAATTAAGTGTAATATGTTATATTATTGAATAAATTATTATCACTCATGTTCGTACTGTTTTTCTTTTTTTTTTTCGGTTTTGTTTTGACGCGTCGGAGTAAGATTCCGAGATAGCCGTCCATAAAATGACATATTTCAGTGGCCACACGTCGCCCGTTTCATCTGTCATGTGCCTGGCGCTTAGTTCATGTAATCTTACCATGGCGTATATTACCCCGAAACCGTGATACAATTTTATAATTTTTTCAGGTTATTTTACACTAATAATAACCTGCTTACGTTGCACTGAAGTCGATTCTGAGATCCTCCTTTTGTGGTGACAACTCAATTTAGACGCTCTAAGTATCCCAAAAAATTCGAAATCACAATCGTGCGTAGCTTATTTTTTCGTTAAAAGCGTGTTCAAAGGTCGCGACGCGCACTTTTTCGGAAGAATTTTTTCCCGAGTGAAGCGGTCGACGAAGGGCGTTTGTCGGCGAGTTTGCAAGCGAGATCTTGGCCCGTGGAGAAAAAGAGGAGTTTAATCTAAATGTGCACCGACCAGACTCTCTTCGAAACGAGTTATAATAAAATCATTTGGAATCTGAATTTAACTATTTCCATAAATCCCTGCGTGCTACACGGCGCGCGTTGCACTCTGGGAACTAGTTGGCCAAGGAGGAGAGTGGCATGGTTTCGGTTTCGATCGACATGTCGACAAGAGATTATGCACAAAGCGTGGGCTGTAAACGACCGTTATCGCATGTTTTCTGGTTAGAGGTATTTGTGGTCTCTAAACTAACCTAAATGGCCAAACCTCGAAGCTTTAGCACAAGCCCGAGACGTATAGCTTGTACGCATGCTTCTTGTATTTTTTGTACTTTAGCCTTTCTGTTAGCGTTTCGAGGCATGTAGAAGAGCCAGTGCTGGCAATCTCGACGCTGCGAAGGTCGGGGATCTTGCTTGTGTACGAACCAACAAGCTGTAGCAACCAATAAGTATGCATACACCGAGCTCGCGCATTTACATATTAGTGTTGTTGATCAGAAGTTTGTTTGTTTAGTGCGTCCATAGACGAAATATAACTTTTTGCAATTATTGTTTTTCTTAATACGCCTGAGTACGCGAGGTAAAACTCGGAGGCGCCATTGAAAAGCTCTATTTGAGCACACTTCTCATCTCTTATATGTACTGCCCCGAAGCACTGCACGAAGTGAACTCCCCACCTGTTTGCAATCCACTAATATTCAACATCGCGCATGCGCATAAAGTTATCCCGCAATCATATAGGCACATTCGCACATACAAACCATTTTAAGAAAGCAAAAGTTGAGCACTTGTGAGAAAAATGTTGCACCGTTCGGAAGGGCATGAACCCCTATGCGGTGCGCCAAACGGACGAAATTATTCAAAGCGCATTTGACGGTTGCGAATGGCCATAATATTCGTTATGTGTTTGCTTTCTTCCTGACTGAGTATGCCGAGACAAATTCAGACACACCGTTCAGGCACAGATCTTGGGCGTCAGTAAAAGCTCTTCCAAAAAGGCTTAGCGAGGAGTAGGGGACGCTTGTTATAGTCCTCCGTCGTAGCTAGCCGATCTCAGCGATTGCGAAAACTTAATCTTGTATCAGCATAAAATTTGAGTGTGAGATATGAGATGACACGAGAAAGACATCATAGTAACTTTTGTGCAGTAGGGAGGTCAAATTTATTGCGTTTCCTTAAAAGGATACTACAACAAAATTTCGGTGCTTATTTTATGGTCTATAGACGCTTTGCAGCAGCGGTGAATGGGCGCCGCCATAACTGACCTTCAGTTTTTGTTTCCCCTTATTACGTTTACTTCACTTCATTATTACCATAGCAGGCTAGGTCATTGCCATCCTAGATTTTATTCTGTCTTTCTCCCCAGCATTGGCCTTTTTGGAGGCTCGTCCACACCAATTTCAGTAACTCGGTATCTCGGTAAAACAAGAAAAGGTCAGCAATGGCGGCTGTATCCTGGCGCGTGTGTAAAGCGTCTATATGTGTTCAAAGAAGCAGTATCACATCGAACACACGAATATCTTGTTAAAAAAGTCGCGAAAAGAAATTTTAAAACGAATTAAACGATTAGCAAAGAGCACCTGGTGGATGTCGCTAACGCCTCGTTTGTAATGCCCGTCTAGGAACCTTGACAACTAGTGGCGGTGAGTGTCTCGCCTCCGGCCACGACGAGAGACGAGGGAAAGGAGGAACTCCCCTCTTCCCGAGAATCCCTTTTATGTGTTCCAGAAGTAGCTATTGTCCCCCTACAAGATTATAAAAGATTAACCCGTCGCTCAAAATTCGTAAAAAAGCAGCCGCTTCGGTGGCCGGAACGACTAGGCCATCCCCTCGACGTCAGCTTCGCTGTAGCTTTGCTCGTCCCGAGACGACCTACGTCACGATTGCGTCGGATGTCACGTGCTCTAAGCTGGGCCTTCTCCGAGCGCTTGCTAGAGTGGGCCGTTTATAACAAAAAATACAGCCACCAGGCTCAAAATACAAACGTGGGATTGTCATTTACGGATATTGTGGATCATATTCAACCTATTCTTGAACACGGCGGATATATTTCAGATTTCGTTGAGGTATCCCTTTAAAAGTTCATGCGCCAACGCTGGGCTCAACTTTGATACTCCTGTGAGGATGCGGCTTGCTTTCTGCCCAATGAAGTAACAAGAAGCGAACGTTTGGCAAACAAAATACATGTAGGGCTCAAGGGGACGAAATTGCAGTTGTAGTTCACTGGTACTAGACGGGATTACTGACATTGAGCTCAAAGATGCGTAGGCACGCACAATATTCTGTGTTTCGGGAACCAAGGAAAATGCCCGGTCCTCGTTTTCTATCGCTCGAGAATGAGTGCATTGTACATTCGTAAAAAGTCAGATAATCGAATCCGCAAGCAGCGCGTTCGGTCGCGGCGTGATAGCATGAGATGAAGCTGCTGAGTCGAAACCGAAACTGAGTGGCCAACTAGTTCTCAGAGTGCACTGTGTGGTATTTCGCCGCGATGGGACGCGTCGGTTTTGGAAGAAGTCTAAATAGGGCTTTTATTGGTCCACACAGTGTAGTCCGCGAGAAAAAAGAGTCCACATGTTTTTCTATTGCTCTGAGATGAATAGGCGGTTTTGTAATAGGAATTGGTATATGTGTGAACTAACCATGGAGGATAGAAGGGTAGGAGAGGGCATGACGTCAGCCGCGTAGCCTGCACAAGCCACGCTCCCTTAGCGCCTTGCCTCTTTCTCATTTTCCTCCTTACTCTTCTCACTTATCAGCCCAACATGACCACATCACGTGACCGTAGCAAGCCTTCGTCTAGCTTTTGATCTGATAAAATCTACCGGACGGAGCGCGCCCAAGCCTGCAAGGAATCCTCCTACAATCAACCACCCATCTCGCAAGTGACATGTCACGCGCACCAATCGCCAGAGAGATCTGCGGTCACGCTGGGCACAATATCGTTTAAACTTTTGGGGATCGGTGGCCGAGTGGGCTAAAGCGCACACCCAGCTCGACGCGCGTGGAGCGAAAGCTCGCGCTGCAGAACCCAGCGATCCTGGGTTCGAGCCCCACCCCTGCCCGTTTCGATCTGGATGAGCATCGTACCGGCGTGCGGTCGTGTATCACTACTGCGTGGTGCACGTTAAGGGGTATTCACACGAGGGAGAAATCCCGGGGATTTCTCCCCGGCACGCGCATCCCACGACGAAAACGTCAGGCTTTGCGATGTGCAAAGGCCTCGCGTTTTCATCTCGTGATACGCGCGTGTCGGGGAGAAATCCCCGGGATTTCTCCCTCGTGTGAATACCCCTTTAAAGACCGCAGGCTAGCGGTTGTACCGCACTGGCTAAATTGCTCATCTACAGCTGGGAGACTCGTCGCAACTTTAATGGCTGACCAACTACACGCTGTATAAATATCCCCATAACCCAAATTGCTTTGCGTTTAAACTTTTTATGACTAGGCTTCACCAATATTGTGACGTGCCCCCTCCTTGAACTTCTAACCTCTTGGAACTAACAGATTGTAAACAATATGGGATCAAAAATGGCCTTTTTTCTTAAATGACTTCAGTGCAGTGCAGTATTTTATTTTCATTTTATTTCTTGTTCCCTTCAATCGGCCGCAGAGGGTTTTAGATAAAAGGGGGTGGGGAAGGGGGGCTTTAGATTACGGCGACAAAGAATACAGTAAATGAGTAGCCAGGTTGCTCACAACTAGACGCAAACTCACAACTCGATGTATTGAAGGAAGACAAAAGAACAGCCCTCGGTATTAACTCGAGCCGAGAACACACTCGCACGGGGGCACCCGAGCACGCGGAGGACACACACCATCAACCTAAAGTCACATCAACCATGCGCTTGTCTCTTCTTTCTTCCCTCTTCCCTGTTCCTTTCTATTTGTGCGCAGTTTTAACCATGTTCAAAGACTTTATGTATTCGCAAAAGTTACGCGAACCATGCACTGCACTCAGCTTTTCTCCTTCAGAACACCCTCGTCCTCAAATATTTTTTTTCCCTGCTTCCCGTTGGTTGGGCGTAGCTGGAGTCGCGAGATGTTCGCCCCGTTGCAACAAACCATAACTGAGAAGGATGGAGGATTTTCTGGAACTTCCTTATGGAGTATAAGAAATGCGGAGGTGTCTACTTTCTCAAGAAAATTTTCTTGGTAAATTTGAAGCGATTTTGAAACCCTTTTTTGTTGGTATCCTCTGGGCGTGCACGCTCGC